AGAGAGAGAGAGAGAGAGAGAGAGTCATGGGACATGGAGTATAGTGTGGGAGTGGAGTCAAGGCAATTGTAATAGATATGTATGATATGGGGGGGAAGTGGGGCGGCGGATTGGGGGCAGGAGGCTGTCACTTTGAGGATTAAAAAGTATAACTATTGCACTGTGTGGTACAGCTGAAACTAATTTTAAAAAATGTGTATTTTACAATAAAAAAATAACAAAAAAAAGAAAAATCATAGAGAAAATCTGTAAAAAAAAATAAAGTACTTTCATCTCTGCAAACTACAATTTTCAAAACACTTTGATATGAATGCTATTTTATGCTTTTTATTAAAATAGTATTTAATTATTCCTATATGATCATTGGTATTTTTACTACTAATAAAGACAATTGCAATTCTTTAAATCAAACTTTAAAGATAAAATTTAATGAAAGCTCAAAAGGGTAACATTTAGTAAAAGTGCTTTGCTAATTTTCTAAGTGAAAGCCTACATATAAACTAAAAAGGCAAAAGGTAACACTGAAATATAAAATTACCTTCCCATTCATCTTTGATGTGATCTCTGACATTCAAATTGATGGTAACGTCCGCACGAACTCGGGTTGGCCAGTTTTCACCTATATTGGGTTTGGCAACCTCAACCACGGTGAAAGCCACAATGGGCTGGGCCATTCGTGCCCAACCACCAAATACTACACCACCATACTCAGACTGCCTGAAAGCCAAAGAAGTGGGTGGTTACTCACACAAAATATAACTTTCCCCCAACTTTTGGACAAGTAAAGTAGTACGTAAGAATAAATGTTTAGCTGGTATTTAAGCCCTAACATTAGTAACTCTTATTTCCAAATTTAAAAATAAATCTAAGTCTCAATATTTAGGGAGTACATATGGTAGGATGAAACAGGCAAACATGGTCTAGAAAAAAAAGGGATGTAGAGGGATATCCCCACACCCCCTGGAAAAAAAAATAACTCTATATACATAAGAGCTGAGCCATTTTGTCAAAGAATGAAATAATCTAGCACATTCAGTTTTATTTTATATTCTTATCCTTTCCCACTGTTTATCAAGATAGTCTGAATTACTTATATTTTATCTTATGTACTATAAGTATTTTTGCAGCTGTTTCAAAAACATTTTAGTACAAGGTAAGATTTAAAAAATTAAAAATAAGCAAACAAATGATAATATCTATATACAAATGCCTCCTTTAGGGTATAATACTTAAATCATTTAAAAGATGCTGCTATGGACTGAGGGGATACATAATCAAGCTAGTTGCAATAACTAGAACCATTAACATCCAAACATTCATTCTTTCTTCTTATATTAGTCTAACTAGTGCTTTAATTTTTACATTAAATAGTATATTTGGGAAATCTGTAACATACAAACTGCTACAATTCTCCAAAATTGTCAAGTACTACCAAAAATGACATAATTACAAAATAAACTACATCCTAAGTAAAGGCTTTGGTAAAACAAAAAAATTGTAGAACTTCATAACATCAAAGAGTAAAACTAATTAAAAATAAAAGATTTGCAATCCAATGACTTGGTTCATAATGGGATGATTTCTAAAAGGAATTACCAGTGTCTAAACCCTTTGTAATAACTTTCTATCACCACCCTCATTTTTTACTAGTTGATATACCACAAAATTCATTCGTTGTAAATATACAATTCAATGATTTTTATTACATTTATAGAGTTGTGCACCCATTACCATAATCCAATTTTAGAACATTCCCATCATACTTACAAAAGATCCCTTTTGTCCAACTGCAGTCAATCCTTGTTCCTAACCCCAGGGAAGCACTAATCTAATCTCCCCAATGTTTTTTCCCTCTTATGGAGTCTACCTGCAACACGAAGCATTCAGTACAGATGTCTCATTAGTGTTCCTCTCTTACCCTGTTCAGTAGTGTCAGCAGCCTGAAAACATGATCATGAGAGCTATGCAATGAGTAAAAATGCCTCTGCTACTTTTCCACCTCAGGATACTCGAACAGAAAAAAGCCCAGTCCCTTTTTAGAAATCATCATTTTTAACAGTTTTCAATGATGGACAATTAGGAATGAAAATTTAGAAAAATTTAGTATCACAATTCCAAAAAATGAGATTTTCTTCCTCCAGCAGAAAACAATGTAAGTAAAAGTAATCTTTTTATTAATAGAGCACAAAAACTAAGTATTATTGCTTAATTTCGCTCGTAAGTAAAATATAANTAAAACTGGGTGGTAGGTACTCTACCCATATTTTACACATAATCCTTTGTGCTTATTTAGTATATAAAACAACTAAAAATATTGCCTAAAGTACAAAAAAAGGAAAAAGGGTAAAGTAATTTATCATTATATACATACACTCTTTCAAAAATATAGATCACATACCGTCTTCAATGACACGTCCTTTATCATCCAGCATGCCCTGGATTTCACAGCCTCTGACATAAACCAGTCCAACCTGTTCAATAAAAGGCCTCCTCCGGTCAAACTTGGTACCATAAGGTTTTGTGGGTCGCACGGTAATTAGAAAGCACACATCATGCTTACGAAGGCCTGGTAAAACATAAAGACATTTTTCACTTATTAAAATGTCATTGTTTTTAGTTTTTTGTCGGCAAATTCTCATCATCTTATCTTGGAAATAGAGATATAAAAAACATTTAAAATATCAGAGTTGGGGGCGGCTGGTGGGGGCGGTCAGTTGGTTAGAGCACAGTGGCCCTGCATGGGCCACTGAGCTAAATCAATCTATCTATCTATCTATCTCAGAGGTGATCAATGATTATATTTGCACTGTAATACAATTATGAGTTTTCTATAATCTCTAATGCTCAATGTTTGATAGCAATAATTAAAATGAAAGTTTCTTGTAAACAGAAATAGTCTCAGAGATATAGAGGAAAAACTGATGGTTGCTAGCTGGGAGGGGGGTGGGGCTGAGGGAGAAGGGGAAGGGATTAGACAGCATGGATGAGACAGCATAAATAGGTAACTACAATATTGCCACAGGAATATGAAAGACAGTTCGGGGAATATAATTAATAATGTTGTAAATATTTTGTAGGATGTCAGATGGTCACATGTCTTGTGTGACCACTTCATGGATAGGTTAGAGGCTTGATCACTGCACTGTACACCTGAAGCTGATGTTGTATAATATTGTATGTCAACTATAATTGAATATATATATAATCACGGGATGTAGAGTATAGTGTGGGAGTGGAGTCAATGAAATTGTAATAGATATGTATGATAGTGGGGGGAGAGTAGGACGGTGGATTGGGGGAGGGGGGTTGTCACTTTGAAGGGTAAAAAGTATAACTATTGCACTGTGTTGTACAGCATAAATTAAAAAAAATGTTTATTTCACAATAAAAAATAAAATACTGAAAAAATAAAAAAATAAGAAATAAAATGAAAGTTTCTCCTTATAATTAGAAACTTTTACGCCATGAATACATTACTGAATAAGTCCTCCAAGTCAGGCTACAGCTCCAAAATTGGGTGCTCATCATCATTCTTATTTTTAACATTCTTAATAAGTAACCAAAAATACAGTTGGCATATAATCCATCTGTATCATATGTAGAGGTTTCTAACATCAGTTTAAATTATCCATCAGTCATTCCAACAACTGTCTGGCTGTATTTCACCAGAAAAGGTCAACTCAAGAATAATTCATCAAGGCACAAAAGCGTTGTTTACAGATATCATCTTGGGAAGATGGTGAATACACATAGTTTCAGTTGGCAAATACTGAAAATTTTTATATGTGAATGTCAAGAAATAGGAGACTTGTGTCAAAGTCCATGGCTTCCCAGTTATTTGACCAAATAATGGATTCAACTAGATTCCCAGTTCTATTAAGAGTAGAGACACCGGAAGACAAGCAACATAAAATTAGATCACGCAGCATATGTTATACCAGTTAATCTTAATTTTTTTCCTGATTTGATTTTGTTAGCCAGTGTATGACAAAAAGGCAAATTTAAACAGTCGGCTTGCTCATAGCCTTAGCAGCAAGACATACAACTAAATAAAATCAACAATGTAAGTGGGTGGCTAATAGTACTGGGACCATTCTGGTTTGTTTCTGTATGGAGTGGAGTTCAAGTGTGGCTAGAAATAACAATTCCAAGTCATAATAGTGACTTTATTGTTTAACTCTCAACAAGTTTTATGCAAAGAAGCAGGGGAAGCAATGAGAACTAAGGGGGAACTGTTCTGCTATGTGAGTTTTACTGTCTGCACTTCTGATCTGCACAACACATTAAAACTTCTAAGTCTTAGAGCCAAAGACGTGGTTCTGGAAAGTACTTTAGTCCCCCCCACCACCACCACCCCGATACCCCGATGTCACTTTTTGGCATCACTGGGGGATGACCGCCTGTTTCCCCTAATGCAGATCATTTAACAGTGGGATGTCTTAGATCCACATTAAAAATACCTATATTACAATGAGCTCAGCTACCTCTCTCCTGTCAATCGTTTGCATTCGCTCCATCTGTGAATGTGTGTTCTGGAGCAGAATCCAGCATTTCAATTTCCTTAATTCTGTTTCCTTAATTTTAAATGAGGTATGGCGAAGATAAGGGCTGAGTTTCACACCTTCTTGAAGGAACAGAATAATATTTCATAATATTTAGCTTAAATTCTTCAAACTTCTTCTGTTTTTACTGGACAATATTCATTACTGTTTGCAGAAACTCCCTCTCAAATTTGCCTCCGTTTTCTATTTGGTTACTCTATCTGTGATCAATACTAGCCCTGAATTTTGGCTCTGACCTCCCAGAAAACACTTTTCTCACCACCATGCCCCCAAATATAAATCACTCGTCCAACAATACCCTATTATTCCCTATCTTGCCCATCAAAATTCACCTATTCTATTTCTCATTCTATAATACTAGAGGCCTATGTTTAAAAAAAAAAAAACCCACCGTGTGACGTCCTTCTGATAGTAGTCTACAGTGTAACAGAGGGAAGGGATTCGGGTAAAACATCCTTTTTCCCCCCTTAACAACGTAATGCAGACTTGTCATCTGTCATCTATAAATTTCTAAAAAGGGTCTTTTTTTTTTTGAGTTTTATTTCCAATACTACTTCTAGGGGTAGCCAGTAAGTTATTTCAGTTTTATTACCACCATGTAAAACAGTGTTTAATACCTCCTTAAGCTCTAAGGGGTAATAAATATAAAACCTTCTCTAGCAACTTAACGCTTTTCTCAAGTTTCAGCAATAATAAAGGTACACATTATTCTAGATGTGTAATGCACCAGATTGGAGCTCTTGAAGCAGGAGTCACAAAAACAATCTGTCACAGACTATACCCACTATAGTGGCCATTTGTTAAACATTTGGCCAGCTTCGTTGTTGGATTCCTTCAGAATTAGAGGATAAATGTATCATATAGTCCCTATGGTTATAAACAGCTATATCGGGAGCAATAATTTCTGAAAACTGAACCATTAAGGGGCTATTCCTTTCCTTGTGGCATGCCAAGAAGGTGGAAGGAGATAAAACTACCGGCTGCTATTTCTCACAAGGCAGTGAGAATTCTCACAGACAGCTGGGAGAAAAATATTAAAAGAGACAATTAAAAATCAGCTCACGGGCCATTTCTCGCACAGGTGTTATCATTGTTTTAACTATTTGACTTAGTAACTTTGAACATATCTGCCCCTAAATAAAATTAATTGTGGAAATCCCATCCCTAAAATCTTGCCTAGTTAAAAAACAGAAAAAATAACTCATTTCTCTGTAATTATCCTTGAATACATTCCATTTCACTGATTATTTATTTGACTTTCTCACTTTGGTGCAAATAAACTATTATTATTTCTGAGTTGTTTTGCCAGGTCCCCCTAAAATTCCTTTTGAGTTTGTCTAATTTTGATTTTGTATTTTTAGCTTCCATAAATTGTATGCATCCCTACTCCTTCACTTTAGCTGCTTTTATCTTTTAAAAATATCCATTGTCCTTACTTGCTCTGCATATGCGTCCCCCCTTTCTTTAGTGAATGCTAGTACTTTTACTCCTTTTATATGGATCCTACAAACTCATAAACATTTTCTTATTAAATTTAAAGTACTTTCATCTCAACTACCACACGACCCAGCAATTCCTCTCTTGGGTATCTATCCAGAGAAACCCAAGACGCTAATTCGAAAAAATATTTGCACCCCTACGTTTATTGCAGCGCTATTCACAATAGCCAAAACTTGGAAACAACCGAAATGCCCATCGGTAGANAAACTTCTTCTGTTTTTACTGGACAATATTCATTACTGTTTGCAGAAACTCCCTCTCAAATTTGCCTCCGTTTTCTATTTGGTTACTCTATCTGTGATCAATACTAGCCCTGAATTTTGGCTCTGACCTCCCAGAAAACACTTTTCTCACCACCATGCCCCCAAATATAAATCACTCGTCCAACAATACCCTATTATTCCCTATCTTGCCCATCAAAATTCACCTATTCTATTTCTCATTCTATAATACTAGAGGCCTATGTTTAAAAAAAAAAAAACCCACCGTGTGACGTCCTTCTGATAGTAGTCTACAGTGTAACAGAGGGAAGGGATTCGGGTAAAACATCCTTTTTCCCCCCTTAACAACGTAATGCAGACTTGTCATCTGTCATCTATAAATTTCTAAAAAGGGTCTTTTTTTTTTTGAGTTTTATTTCCAATACTACTTCTAGGGGTAGCCAGTAAGTTATTTCAGTTTTATTACCACCATGTAAAACAGTGTTTAATACCTCCTTAAGCTCTAAGGGGTAATAAATATAAAACCTTCTCTAGCAACTTAACGCTTTTCTCAAGTTTCAGCAATAATAAAGGTACACATTATTCTAGATGTGTAATGCACCAGATTGGAGCTCTTGAAGCAGGAGTCACAAAAACAATCTGTCACAGACTATACCCACTATAGTGGCCATTTGTTAAACATTTGGCCAGCTTCGTTGTTGGATTCCTTCAGAATTAGAGGATAAATGTATCATATAGTCCCTATGGTTATAAACAGCTATATCGGGAGCAATAATTTCTGAAAACTGAACCATTAAGGGGCTATTCCTTTCCTTGTGGCATGCCAAGAAGGTGGAAGGAGATAAAACTACCGGCTGCTATTTCTCACAAGGCAGTGAGAATTCTCACAGACAGCTGGGAGAAAAATATTAAAAGAGACAATTAAAAATCAGCTCACGGGCCATTTCTCGCACAGGTGTTATCATTGTTTTAACTATTTGACTTAGTAACTTTGAACATATCTGCCCCTAAATAAAATTAATTGTGGAAATCCCATCCCTAAAATCTTGCCTAGTTAAAAAACAGAAAAAATAACTCATTTCTCTGTAATTATCCTTGAATACATTCCATTTCACTGATTATTTATTTGACTTTCTCACTTTGGTGCAAATAAACTATTATTATTTCTGAGTTGTTTTGCCAGGTCCCCCTAAAATTCCTTTTGAGTTTGTCTAATTTTGATTTTGTATTTTTAGCTTCCATAAATTGTATGCATCCCTACTCCTTCACTTTAGCTGCTTTTATCTTTTAAAAATATCCATTGTCCTTACTTGCTCTGCATATGCGTCCCCCCTTTCTTTAGTGAATGCTAGTACTTTTACTCCTTTTATATGGATCCTACAAACTCATAAACATTTTCTTATTAAATTTAAAGTACTTTCATCTCAACTACCACACGACCCAGCAATTCCTCTCTTGGGTATCTATCCAGAGAAACCCAAGACGCTAATTCGAAAAAATATTTGCACCCCTACGTTTATTGCAGCGCTATTCACAATAGCCAAAACTTGGAAACAACCGAAATGCCCATCGGTAGATGACTGGATTAAGAAACTGTGGCGCATTTACACAACGGAGTATTACTCAGCTATAAAGAATGAAATCGTACCATTTGCAACGATATGGATGGACCTAGAGACTATTATGTTGAGTGAAATAAGTCAGTCGGAGAAAGACAAATACCATATGACCTCACTTAAATGTGGAATCTAAAAAACTGAATGAACGAGCAAAGTAAACAGAAGTGGTCTCAGAGATAAAGAGGAAAAACTGATGGTTGCTAGTTGGGAGGGGGTGGGGATGAGGGAGAAGGGGAAGGGATTAGACAGCATAAATACATAACTACAATATTGCCACAGGGACATGAAAGACCATTCGAGGAATATAATTAATAATGTTGTAAATATTTTGTAGGGTGTCAGATGGTCACATGTCTTGTTAGGGAGACCACTTCATGGATAGGGTGGAGGCTTGATCACTGCACTGTACACCTGAAGCTGATGTTGTATAATATTGTATGTCAACTATAATTAAATATTATAGTCACGGATGTGGAGTACAGTGTGGGAGTTGAGTCAATGGAATTGTAATAGATATGTATGATAGTGGGGGGGAGAGTAGGGCAGCGGATTGGGGGAAGGGGGTTGTCACTTTGAGGGGTAAAAAGTATAAGTATTGAACTATTGCACTGTTTTGTACACCTGAAACTAATTAAAAAAAAATTCTATGATACTATAATCTTGCCACAATAAAAAAATAAATAAATAACAGTAAAAGATATGAAGACAGTCGATTCTGAAATCTAGTATAATTTTAGTACATTGTGTTTATTGTAGTTATGGCTCTAGGATATGATTCTGAAGTAACAATTTTTCTTTTAAATCAATGTACCAATACTTATACTGGTGATGTCATCAAAATAGCCACATTTCTTCTAACAATAATGACATTGTTCAAAAGATTTCCTGAAATGTTTTTCAAATATGCCTTGAAAATGTGTCAGAATGCACTTTGGTATATACTCAATTGTGGTGAATTCTCATCCTTAGAGGACAGTGAAAGCATTTAGAAATAAATCTGTTGAAATAGGCAGGTGAACAAACTAGACAATACCATTTTGAATCAAGACTCAGGGTTTATTACCAACTAATGACGTCTTTTTTTTTGGTGGTCATTATCTGGCTCTACAAGCAATTGAAACCTCTAAAAAATGTTTTGAAAAATAAAGCACTACAAAACAAAGCCTATTGTGACATAATGAAAAAGCTATACTTGCTGTATTATTATGTCTCCTTAAAACACAGTTTTAATGCTTTATAGTCTGTATTTCATAGGATCTCTCTCTCTCTCTCTCTCTCTCTCTCTCTCTCTCTCTCACACACACACACACACACGGCATGGTTTAAATTAATAAAAATCCTTAATGCTAAGCATTCAAAATACTGAATAGTTCCTAGCTTCTAAAGTTAAATTTGAGGGTATCATAAAATTTTCCTAATGTATACAGTGCATAGGAATATTTTCATTACATATGAATTCTAAACTAACTTCCATGCTACATCCTGATCCTGTACTTCTTTATCATACCTTCTCCTGAATAGTACTCAGTTGGGACAATATTTTCATCCCATATGATTTTCTCAGTTGGATACAAAGGCATCTGGTTCAATTGCTGAATCTGAGAAATTCGACGTTCGTGACGAGATACCTGAAACAAACAGGTTCAGGAAGAAAGTTAGAAGCATCTTTTGTTTTAATCAAAGTAACTTATGAAATGAGAAGTTACATGTTTTTCAGTTATAGTAGTACTTAACAAGAGATTTTTTTACTGCCTTTTCCATTTTTTCCCCCCATAAAAAAAGATGAAGGAGATACCAATTGTGATGGTCTTTGAATCAGACAGATCTGAATTCAACTCCCAGCACCTCTACTTATAAGCTCTGTAAAAGCTGGGCAAAGTACTTGAACCTCCCTGATCTTAGTTCGCTTTTCAGTGAAAAAGATTAAAGGCTACTCACCTCTCAGGTTTCTTACGAAAATGAAATGGAATACTATAAAACAGTGTCAAAGTGCCTAGCACATGCCAAGACCTTAAAAACCATAGCACTTAGCATTCACCAAGGTAAGAAAACAACAGGAGCCCTGAGTCCTAGGTTATAGTTGTCATCCTTGTACTAACTTGTAAACAATCTAGGAAAGTTTATGAATAAACTGGCCTCAGTCTTCTTTGTAAAATGAGTTGGACTTGCTGATCCCTATGTACCCTTCTATTGTTAATACTGGAGTAATGAGTTAGATTACTCCAGAAATAAATGTTTCTTATTTATTAACAGAAATAAGTGTATTACCTAATTAACAGATGTTAAAATAATGATACACTTGAAAAATGTGTCACATTCCCTCCAGTAGAGATAGTATTATTTAGGAAAGAAGATAGTGTGATATTATCTAAACGATGTGCATGTTTCAACCCTTTAATCATAATTTGGATATTAGAAGACTCCAAAGCCTAAAGAAATCCTTTAGGAGAAGGAAGAAATGAAAGATAATGCTGGAGCACTCTAAATTTTTACAACTGTTTTCTTTTGGCATAACTATTTAAATTTTAAGAATGAAATCTTAACTAGAAGACCCTAAAAGGCATAGGATGAACTATATACTCAAACCTATTTCCCATTAGAAAGCCTACAGAAAACAATCCTCATTTCTTTCTATAGTAAGGATTTAGGATTAATCCCCAAAACCTGACTTACAAGAGAAGATTTCACATTGTCAGAAAAATAGGACAAGGCATTTTTAAAAAGTGCTTGTAGTCAGAGACAATGAAAAGTGATTTGTAAGAAAGAAGGGAAAGAGGGTGACCCAAATGCAGGACATACAGTTCATACAAGTGAATATATTGATAAAAAGTATTTTCCATGGCTGAATTAATTCAAAACCCTCCCAAGGATTTCTCTCCAAATGGCACTTAAACACCTGTCACTAGGCTTAAAACACCTGCTACAAATAGTTTCCTGTTACTGCCCCCAAACTAGTGTATAATCTTCCTTTCTACAGTTAGGGATTGTATTTTACACCCTACATTAAAAGTATTAGTTTGGAATATAACTCACAAAACCTTGTGCCCATTGTAGTTCCACGTGTGTAAAAAATGTATATGCACATCCACACAGTGTGTGTTTGTATAGGTGTTAAAAAAGTCTGAAACATGAAAAATGACTCAATCTTTTGGCAGTCAGGAAACAAAAGTTAAAATAAGCTATTATTTTTTTTACTCATAAGACTGGCAAAAATTGGGACGACTCATAACATTCGGTGCTGGTAGGAGCTTAAGGAGACATGTTTTAATACGTTGTTGGTGGGAATATGTACCTTTCGGAGGATAATATGGCTGCATCTTTTATCTTTTAAATAATCACAGGCTTCCATCAGATAACTTCACTTCTAGGTGCCTCTCCTAAATGTACACATAGGGGTACACCGACACGTACAAGGACTGCATCATTATTGGTACTAATGAACACTGCAAACCTCATTTTTCATAATGGGAGTATGGTTAAATACTCAGCCATTTAATGAAGTATTTTACTGAAGTTAAAAATAAGGTGTACCCCTTCCCTTCAATTTTGCTGGGAACCCAAAACTGCATTAAAAAAAAAAAAATTTAAAAAAAAAAAAAAAAAGGTATCAGTTTGCGAGTAAAAGCCCTCATTTCCTGAAATGATTGAGAAATCCCTTAGAATTCTGAAACCACTAAGCTAGTGATGACTTACTCTACTTCTAAACACTCCTGAATTTTCTAGTGATAAAGGTATGGCTTAACATTCAAGGTACTATATTTAAATAACTTTTAAAATAAACAGATATGAACATATCTGTATTATGTGTGTGTGTGTGTGTGTGTGTGTGTGTGACTGTGAACTCTCAAAGGCAGGAAAGGTGCCAGCTATATGTATCCCCAATGCCTGAATTCAGTGCCTAACTTAAGAGTTGCTCAGAAATGTTTGCGTGGAATGAATTCACGTCATAAAGCAGTTTTAAGAGGTAAAAGACTTGAGAAAAGAAATCCAAGAGATGAGAAAAGAAGTCTGATAAAATCAAATGATGATACAATTCCCACAGTGGGAATTATCTACCTAATCTTTAGTCCAGAAAAAAATCTGTATCAATCTACATCTTTAAGAATGGTTCAAAAAAGTCAGAAAAACCACATGCAAAATTCAAAGAACATTAATATGTATTTACCAGCAATTCTAGAAGAAATTCTTTATCAAAAGTTGTGTCTTCAGTTTTAGGAAGAGTTGGTAACAAGCAGAGGTACGATGCCACCTGGTGGAGCGTATTTGAACTGCAGAATAAAGAATATTCAGATTATTTTATTCTTAACAACTTACTTAACTTCACTTTTGAAACATGTAATTTTAGAGATTGCCTAAAAGGTTTTACTCAATAATTATAATTCTATGACATGAGTAGCAAATATAAAAAACCAGCAATGAAAGTTAAACCCCTAATACAGGGTTTTCAAAATGTCTTCTGCAAACCTCTTGTGGTCCCTAAGATCCTTTCAGGGAGTCTACAAGGACAATTCTTTTTTAAGTTAATACTATGGCATTATTTGTTTTTGTCCCCCCACTGTCTTTACATATACAGTGACAGTGCAAAAGCAATGGTGGGTAAAATTGCTGACACGGATCAAGTTGGTGGCACCACCCAGTCCTCTAAGTAGTCACAGCATTCTTCACCGCCACATGCAGTTATCAATGAAAAAAAAATCAGTTTTAAGAATGTTCTTGATGAACCAGCAAAATATTATTAATGTCGTTAAACTTGAACTCGTATCTGTTTTTTAAAAAATTCTGTGTGACAGAATGGGGGGTACACATGTACACATTTATTTGGGTNGTATGAAATCAAACGTGACAGTAAAAAAACTAGATCGTAATCACAGTGTCCATGCAGCTCTCTGTAATTAGGAAGGAGAGAAGCCTGGAGGATACCTGCATCGCTCCCATTCCAAATGTCAGGCTTTTCATACAGAATGCAGGATGACTGTATATGTATGCATACTGTGGCTGTAATGTAATGAATATTCATTTTACAGAATTATTTTACTTACAGTCCCCTGTGATATATAACTTATCAATTTCATACTCAGAATAAAATATTGAATGAAGGGTATTTACCCAAAGTCAGTCATCTAAAAAGCAAAACTACCCTTCACAAACCTCATAATGCAGTGCTGCCTACAATAACTAGAATGAAAGTTTTTTTCTTAGCTAATGGAATTAGCTCAAGGAATGAGCTAGCAGGTGGGGAGTGGAGTTTAAGCAGCAGGTTTCTCCAAATAACAAGACCTACTCAACCAGCCCTAAAAGTAAATGCTGATGATTTGGTCTCTTCAAGGCAACAGATGGATGGGAGACCAGGGAAGACTTTCCACTGTTCCATTCCATGCAATGTGCTGCAAGGCCCCTCATCTCCCGCCAGGTTCCTTAGAGAGGCTGACTGAGGGGAGAGGTGACAGCCACAAGAGAGCGTGGGGTAGCAGAGTACTCCTTTACCATAAGCTTCTCCATGGACTTAAACTGTCCTGCCCTAGTACAGGCCTGCCGGCCAGCCCACATCCTTTCCTCTTTGCCCTTTTGCTAATGCCCAACCCACTCCCCTCCACATCCCACCTCCACCAAGGGGGATGACCTCTCTTCCCTTATCCCTAGTCCCACCCCCAAGTACCCAGATATATATTTTATATTTTAGCACTTTTAATATAGTCTAATCCACATTAAAGAATTTCTCAAAGAGTAAATATCTCATATTTTGGAGGGCATCTACATGCCAGGTATACTATCTAAATATACTCTCGACCTTTCTGACAGAAATATGTCAGCCACTGTTTGCATCTCCTCGTTGTAGGTGGAAACAATTTACTAACCACGGCTTCATTCTGCTGACGCTATCCTCGATGTCCTGCCTAATTTCATAAGTTGATTCTAAGCGGAAGAGATTAAAATTCCGTAGGAGGTAATCATGAAGAGTCAAAAACTGCAAATTCAACTTGGGAAGAGCAAGACAACCTGAAAAGGAAAATAACATTGATATTTGAATTATTTTTTTAATCAGACATCTCTCTATAAAAAAGGCATCACAAATTTGGTAAGAATCTAATTTAAAAATGTCTAAAATACAGCATATTTAATAAGGTCTTATTTTTATTTCCACACAGAAAACTGAAACCAAGTTAACAAATGCTGCCTACTAAAAACTGCAAATAAAGGGTGGATTTCATTAATACATGTAACCTGCATATCAATGATTCATATGCAAATAGTACTTCTAAAAAGTATCTGAAGATACTTTAATGCAGTCTCAAGTAGTTTAAAGATTCTTCCTTTACACCTAATTTACACCTGGCAAATCTAAAAATAAATAATGCTACCATACAAGTTACATACTTAACATACTTAAGTTAGCACAAGACAAAATTACCAAGAAAACTGAATTGGTTTACAAAAGGTCAGGCAATTAAGTTCGTGAACTTTCCACTGTGTACTTACACTGCATAAATCTATCTCCAACGATCACTGCTGAGTTCTGAATTAACCTTTGCCTTTTTGCTAGATTTAAGGGTAACCACTGACTATATTTTATTCCTGGATTTTACTTCCCTTCTTTGACTATATTAAATGAACAATATACTTTATATTATCCTTAGTTAACACTATTTCCCTTTGATAGAAAGTGACCAAGCACTCAGCAGCAATATCAAAAGATTAAAAAAAAGAACCCCAAACACATTTTACTGGCAAATCATAATATTTTCATCATTGCTATCCGTATTTACCAAGGCAATAATGCACCTAAAAGCAAGAAACACTGATGTATAAAAATTTCACATCATTTGTAGTCAATTAGAAAAATCCAGATTATGCGAAACTATATACAGATCAAATAATGCAGGTTCTTCAACAGAAAGAAAAGGAAGAGATAGGGAATACCTGCAGAGTAAAAGACATGTTTAAAATGTGCAAGGGATGCACAACTGGGTGATAAAACTATAAAAAACAGAAAAGCAAGATAGCGGTGGCTATAAAAGCCTAGAAAGAAATGGCCACTTTCAAGCACAGGGAGGAAGCAGTGATTAGAAAAGGGCACCTGGGAGAGTTCTGTGATAGCTGACAAGGTGGTTACAAGGGTGTCATGGTGTTTCCCTTATGATAATTAGTAAAGCTCTATATTTATTTTGTGTAGCTTTCTATATTTGTGTTTATTTTATAGTAAAAAAGTGTTGAAAGGCAAATTTTACAAAGGTATTCTTTA